CTCCCCCTCCCTGGGTGACCTCTCCCTCCCTGGGTGACCTCTCCCTCCCTGGGTGACCTCTCCCTCTGAGATTCATTCAGGCCACAGGCATCGCCCAGACAGATTCCAGATGCTGTTCTCTCCCATTCTCCAGGAGTTTCTTCTTCCTCCTTCCTTCCTTCCTTCCTCCATGTGTCCAGTGCCTGGCTCATGGGCTTTCTCTCCTTCCCAACTCCTTCGGCTCTCTAGTGAGGGGCCTCCGATACTCCCTCAAACACCCTAACTTCCCAGTTCCTCAATGTACCTGATTCCCCATCACTGACTTCTCCACCCCACCTCAGTTCCATCATCCACAAATATACCACTTCCACACTCATGAAGTCTCGGGATCCTCAGATCACAATCTGCTGTCCTCCTGACCCTCCCTCTGCCTTGCAGCCCTCACACTTGTTCTTTACTGCACTCTGCAATCTCTCCACCCCTCGATTCTTCCCAGGCCATCACTCTGCACTGACCTCCCTTTCCTCCCTTCCCCACCTTGGGCCCTTGGTGAACCCGTTCAACTTTGCTTACTTCCCTTGCCCCCTTATCCTTTCAAAGATCCTGCCCTACCAAGCCTCAGCCTTGGGTCACCCTCCATTACTGCCTTTTCTGTGGCTCACATGACGCTGAAAGAACATGGTGAAAATCACAAAAACTTGCTGACTGCATCCAGTTATGTTCCCTCTCAGCTGGGTCCCCATTCCTGCAAGGAAATGCTCTGACATCTCCCTGCTTGGTCCACTCTCCCCTTCCCCACAGTGGCTCTTCCAGATCTTTTCAACCCTCCCCAAATCTTCCATCACTCCACTTCCCCCTGCCCCAGCTGAGAACCTCATCCTCATCTTTCATGGAAAAAAGTGAAGCTATTGGAAGAGACCTCTCTCTTCTGCCCTCCTCCTCATCTCACACCACTTAGATGCCTACTGCAGCCCTGTCTCTTTGCCAAGACTAAGCCTCAGCCTGCCCCACGGATCCCCTTCTCTCCCGTGTTCTCTGGCAGATCATCCCCTCTCTCATCCCCCCTCACTGCTTCTCTGCTGCCTCTAGACACACCCATGGGTCCCCATCACCTGATCCTTCCATCCCTGCCAGCTGTCATCCCGCATCTCTTCTTTGAAAACTGTCTACAGTCGGGGCCTCCAATTCCAATGTGGCTTCTAACTTCATCGTTTTCCTAAGACTGCTGTCTCCCAAGTTGCCAATGATCTTTAAATCACCAAATCCAAAAGCCTTTTTTCAGTCCTCCTTCTCCCAGGCAAGTCTACAGCCTTGGACCCTGCAGATCACCCTCTCCTCCTTGATAACATCTTCTCTCTAGTTTTTTGGGACACCCTCCCCTGCCTGTCTCTCCTGGTTCTCCTCCTCCCTCTCTGACTGCTCCTTCTCCATCTTCTTTTCTGGATTCTCCTCCAGGTCACACCCTCTAATTGTGGGTGTCCCTCAGGGCTCTGTCCTGGGCTCTCTGTGCTTCTTTTATAGTCTTTCACTTGGTGATCTCATTGAATCAACTATCACCTTTAGTCAGAAGATTCTCAGCTGTATTTTTCCATTCTTTACTTCTCACCTGACCTCCAGCCTCAATCACCAATTGCCTGTTGAGCGTCTTGCACTCACCATGTCCAAAATGGAATCCGTCTTCCCCCAACCCTTCCCTGACTGTAGAGGGCACCTTCATCCTCCCAGTCCCCCAGGTTCACCACCTAGAAGCCATCTTTGACTCCTCACTCTCACCCTCATGTTCAACCAGTCACCAC